GGGAAACAGTTGTCTGGATTTTCCGTCTCACTAACTCTGGCAAGAAAGTGATCTGGGCCCTTGGGGTATTTTTTTCTTTAGAAAATATTCAGATTAAACAATGGCTCAGGATAGGGGTATATTTTTATGATAGTATTTCCCAACACACAGTTAAATATAATTACTTAAATGGCCCTCCAACACAATACTGGGACATGCCTTTTTATTTTCTCTGACTTGTTAGTGGTTAGAAAACTCATTTTTTTTTCTGCTCTACTAACAAGATTCAAGACTAAGGCCCACAATGTTATTTATGTAGCCTTTTCATTTTTGTTTTGATCTTATATTTGGTTATTCATGTAAAATTAAACATATATCTTTGAATTAATAACCATTTATTAAGCACCTACTACTTTCCAGGCATTATATATAATGGTGTCAGACACAGTGTTTGTCCCTCAAGTTGCTCACAGCCTACAGTACAGCGGGTGGCAGCCTTGTGATCCATTAAAGCACTAAGTTATATGTACTAAAAGTATACTAAGTAATATGGTAAAGGGGAAGACTACATACTTTGTCAATGTAAGAGGCCCACCTTATTCAGATAGTAACTGCTTTCCAGAGAAATGATGTTAAGCTAAGTTTTGAAAAAGTCATACCCATTTTCCAGAAATGGAAATAAATGAAATGTAGATGAAATAAGAGACTCATATTGAGAAGAATCTTGAGATGACATATAGATGAGTTTGTGTTTTATGCCGAATGCAATGGTAAACCACTGAAAATTTTAAACAAAAGAGAGATAAAATCAGGTATGCATCTTAGAGAGATCACTTTAATGACCTTGTGGAAGACAGATAAAAGTGGGACTGAAGGCAAGAAGATAAGAAAGGAGGTTATTGAAATAATACAAGCTAGAAAACAAAAGTGTTGCTCTTAAGGCACATGGATGGAAGACAGTATGGTGCCCTGGCTAAAAGCCAGGACTTTGGCTAATAGACTTGGGGCTCAAGCATATCTCATACCTTGTGTGATTTTTGGATGGCCAAAAATTAAAACCGAACAATAATTACTCAGTTAAAAGAAAAATAAACCCAACCAGATTAATTGAGTTTAGGGGCGGGTGTGTGACAGGAAGTCATTCAAGAACTGGCTACACTTGCCATTTCTCTAATAAGCCTCCTGGTCTCTCCCTGTTTGTAGCTTTGCTCTTTGCATCTACTCCATTCTCTTTTCTCTTTCAGTTCCTTTCTCTGGTTACTCAGTTTATATATCCTCATAAGGTATGCTTGCCTATGGTCATCATGCTCTTCAAGCCTCATACTATATAATGAATAGGCATTTCCTTCTGCTGAGTGGAATGTCTCTCAATATTTCCTGGGTCACATTCCCAAGGAAGAAAAATGAATGGCTCTGCTCATCTCTGCTCATCTGCCTAAACTATGATCCATAACGCTGCAGAATTTTGACTGGCTCTAGCCTTGGATGGTAATATATAGAGAAGATATGGAGAATAGTGGGACCTACTTCAGAGCTTGTGAAAAAAACAATTACCTTTAGAAGGGATAATTGAAAAGTTTACCTATATCAGTGGCAATAAGAATGAACTGCAGGGGAGAGGTTTAAGGAAAAGTTTAGAAATCAAAGCAGCTGAATGTAATGATCCATCAGATATGAAACGTAATAAACAGGGAGGTTTCTGATGTGATGCATTGAGTAATTAGCAGGCCATCTACCCAAATAGGGAAAACGGGAAGAACGGTCCTTTGATGAGTTCAAATTTGAACTTATGGGTCAACTAGTAGGTAGCTCTATATACTGTTTGGCTCTCAAGAGCTATTTGGATTAGAGATAGCCATTTATGACCCCTCTCTTTTTTGGCTTCTAAGGTTTTCTTTTACTTTAGTCTTCCTCCCTGCCTCTTCTACGTCCTTTGCATTTACCTACTCTTACCTCTTCCCTTGTGATCTCTTTGAGGGCCATATATTTCTAGAAGCCCAGTTTTGGTTCTTCTTTATCTTCTCCATATATTCTTCACTGGATAATTTCTTCAAATCCTAAATTAATAAATACCATATTTATGCTTGTGACTTACAAACTGTTATCTTCAAACTCACATATCCAGTTGCTTACTTCACATCTCAGACTCTCAGTTTGAAACCCTTATAGCCCATACACCCCAGTCTTCTTTGGCTTATTTTATATCATTATTATTCTCTTGTTTAGAAAAGTCAGAACTTGAAGATTATCCTTGATACTATCTTTTTTTAATTCCCCACAGCCAGCCCAAAAGCAATGTCTATCAATTCCATCTCCAAAATGTGGCATGACTCCATTTTCTTTCTTCCATGACTATTGCTGTCACCTTGTTACAGGCTATTAGCAAAGAACTTTTTAACTATTCAGTGGCTTCTCATTTCACTTAGAATGAAGTTTAGATTTTGACAAAGACCACATGATCCTTACCTCTGTCCTTAGCACATTCCTACAACATTGTGGTCTAGCTCTCTAACAAGGTTCTTCCCATTAGGGCATTTGTCCTTGGTGTTTCTACCCCTTCAAACTATATTCACTGTGCTGGTTTTTTTGAATTATGTAAATTACAATTCACATGTCATCTGAATAAAGGGATCTTTCCTGTGTCCAGTACAAGCAACCCCTCCACCCAACCCCATCACTTTTACATTAATGTATTTTTTTCTGAATCTTTAAAATACTTTTCTCTCTGAAATTACCTTTGTTTTCTTGTTTAAGGTCAGTTTTCCCATACCCCTTCCCTAGAATTTAAGCTCCAAGAGGCAGACGTGTTGCCTTTCTTATTCACTGCTACATCTCCAGTGCCTAGAATACTTCCTAGTAAGTGTACTAAGTTGTCCATGAATGATTCAATTAATTCTTGCAAAAGACCATTGATGGATCTTCTCATTTCCATTCTTCTCTTTATAGTCCATTTTCCACAAAAGACAAAAGTCATGTTTTGAAAATATAAAACAGATCATATCCCTCCAGTAATTTTATCTCTTTGATGGTTTCCCAGTCACTCAAAATAAGACTGAAACCTACCATATACGTTTGCAGTACCACTCTCTTCTTGTTCATTACACACCACTGATCTTTTCATTTTTAATCATACCAAACTCCTTTGCTTGGGATACTCTTCCTGACATTCAGCACACAGATACCATCTTCTTCTCTTTCTTTAAATTTTGGTTTAAGTGTTATTTCTTCAGAGAGGCTTTCCTGATCGCCTTACTTAAAGGAATTTCCCCCTTGGGATTTCTTTTTTCTCAGCCCCTGATGTATTTCCTTTGTAGCATCCAGTAGTTTTTCAACTACTACAATTATATTTCTGTATATTTGGTTTTCATCTGCCCAATCCACTAGAATGCAGGATGATCAGTATAGTGAACAGGTCTGTCTTGTTCTCTTTAGTATCCTTAGTACCTAACATGATAATTAGGACAGTGAAGGTACTTAATAAATGTTGTTTTTTAAAAATGATATCAAATGGTAGTAGAAGCTCTTGAAGTAAATAAGATTACTCCTGTTACAAACTAGAGACACCTAACTAAATCTAGCCTGAAAACATGATATTTTTGCTTTGTGTTGTGTTGTTTTAGGCAGGAACATGTTTTTAATTTTTTTTATTTCCTTAAGGTGTAACATGAATGCTACGGGCTATCATAGTCCTCATCTAGGGGTAGTAATGAAATATTCTAACAAGTAAGGCTTACATCTATTAGAAAGAACATAGGATACTTTGTTAGATATTAATAGATATTAACTGTTGTACTTCACCAGATGCTAACCCCAGAAGGAGTTAGTGATAAGAGACACTAATTGCAAAAAGATCCAGAAGGACCAGGGGAAGAAGTCTTGGGGTGTGGGTTTGAGGGGAGATAGACATTTAGGGCAAAGTATGTTTCCTGACTTTCATGGAAGTGTCTCAATATTTGAATAGCCCACTCCCTCCACTCCTACCTGGCCCTTGTAAGTATTTAAGTTTGGGACCGCCACCCTTACCTCCTACCTCCTGATTTAGAATAAGAGAGGAGGTCAGAGAACAAAGCCCTAGGAAATGTCAACATTTAAGAACTGAGGGGGGGAAAAAAAGCCCAGAATGGAGCAGCTGGAGGGAAAAGACCCCCTCACCCCCCCAAAATGGTTTTCTAGCAGCTTAGAGAGAGAAGTGATTTAAGTGAGCGATTGTGTCAATAGATAAGGGTAGAGAATTATTTCCTTGAAAGACATTGCTGACTCTAGAACAAAAGTTTTCAGTGGAAAGTAAGTGTTAAATCAATTTTCAGTGGAGTGAGGAATGGTTATAGACTACTTGGGAGGCATACCAAAGAGGGGAGTGGTAGGCACAGTATAGGACATGAGGAAGTGTGTTGTAATTTCAAAACAGCAATAAAACTGACTCAAGTTTGTCTTCTTAATATTGCCATACTCTAGCAATTCCAAACAAGGTTAGGGTTAAAATTCTCCTCCCCTAGGTTACCACTCTTATTAAAGAGAGGGATAGTATAACAGTTAAAAAAGGGCATAGGGTCAAAGGAGGATGACTTTCTAAGATTAAAGGAACTTGTGAATGTTTGTAATAGGAGAGGACCAGCTTAGAGGATGTGTTTCAATAGAGTAAAGGTTATAACAATAAAGCAACCTGAGGATATACAGAATGCACAAAACACATTAATGATTTAGCCTTAAATAAAAATAGCATGTCTAATTCCTAGAGGAAAAATCCTGATTCTTGATTCAGAATTGTTGTATTATGGCAAATTGTAGATCTTTTTTATTTCTTAAATTAATTCACAAATTCTAATTATATTATTAAATAGTTACTCATTTTATCCACTTTTGAAGATAATCTTCTAATAATAACGTCTGTATTCCAAATGTGACTACTACTTATTTTATGGATTTCATGTAAAATAACTTTAAATTCACTGTATTAATAGATATATTCTAATTTCTGATATTAAATTATTATATTCTGCATTTGCACTTATTTCATACAGGTAACAAATACTGGGTATTTAAGGATACAACTCTTCAACCTGGTTATCCTCATGACTTGATTACTCTTGGAAGTGGAATTCCCCCGCATGGTATTGATTCAGCCATTTGGTGGGAAGATGTTGGGAAAACCTATTTCTTCAAGGGGGACAGGTCAGTACACATTTCACATGAGGAAAATGGTTAACTAATGTTTACAGAAGTTAATATTTCTATTCTATAATAGACTGTTGATTAAGAATCTGTGTGAATATAAAGATAAGAATTAATGAAATCAAAAATATTTTAACATATTTTTAAATAATATTCAAGATAAATCTTCCTGTAACATACCTAAATAATATGACCTTCTTATGAATATATATATTCTTCCTCTTCTGCATAAGCTTAACATGCCTATAAATCTGTGTAGGCAATGTATATGTATCTTACAATGCATTTTCTTGTCATTTTACTTAACTTTATTTAAAAAACACATTTTCACAAAGGCTTTTTTTTTGCTTTCATATTGAAAGTTAAATTTTTATACTTTGCATGCTGTTAATTGTAAATGTTTTCAAACAATTTCTGTTTAGTCATGAGTTCTATTTCTTAAGAAGCTAATTATTTAGGTACCAACAAGTCAGTCACTTAGCTTAAAGTGTAAACTCTCTTCCCTGCAACTCTCTTTCATTTCTTTTCCTTTCCTTTCCCTTTTTTATGCCATTAGTAAAAATTAAGTGAACTGTTAGTCTTATGACTTGTAGCATCTACTAGGCATACATAGCTCCACTCCTGTGTACCTTTGATATAAATTACACATAAAATGCAACTTGAAGTCTATATTTTTTATTAATTTAAATTAATATTAGGTAGAAAAAGTAATAGAGATGAAAAATAAATTTTTAATTACACTATTACTAGCTGGGTCAAATGTGACACTCAATACAATTTTTATTAGTATGTAGAAGGACTTAAGTATGCATTTTACTGCGTTTTATAGTAAATTAAAAATACACATCCTTACACATAAACACACATATGAACAACAGGCTTTAATGCCCATCTAACTAGTATTGAGTTTGCCATATAATCTTCGCATGGTATAACCTTATAAAATGTCTCCAACTTTAGGAGAAAACTGTGTAAGTATATAAACTTTATTTTACAATTCGCAATTTTTAACATTGATTTCAAACATTGAGCTTTATCTGTGAACCAAAAACTCCTATAATTTTTCTCCATGGATAAGAATGTATACTTTTCAATTTATTCTGTTGCTAGCTCTCTATATATTTGATTTGTATATACTTCTATAACAAAATGTTTTAATACATGATCATGAAACTAAGGTGCTAAATGGTTACAAAATCACAAAACAAAAAAGGTCTATCAAACAAAAATTTTATTAAAGGAGAAGATGCTATTTATAGCCACAAAAAGTATATGATTCTCAGCAAGATATAAGTGTAATAGAGTATGATAGAAGAATGAAGAAATTGCTGGCTACAGCATGGTGACCACTAATGAAAATAAATCTGCAAATTTAGAACATATTCTTTAAAATAACAACCCTGAAGGTTGTTAGAGTTTAAGTCCCCGGCTGATTTAATTGCTTGGATGTACTCTTTCAGGACCAGGTTCAATAAGGAGTTTTTTATTGTTTTGGGTTTTTTTGTTTGTTTTTGGAGAAAGGTGTAGAAACAAAAGGCTGACCAAACACACTTCTGAAGGACAGAACATGAAGCTTAGCTTTCATGCAACAATTTTCACAGGATTTCACAGATGGTAATAAAAACTGCCACTCTATTATCAGATAGCCTATTTTTTTCATACATGCAGGCATTACTTTTAAAATGTTTCCAATATAAAAATTAGCACTTATTGAAAAAATTAAGTTTAGAAACTAAATGTGCACTGCCTCAAATCAGTGAAATCAATGAAGGTTAGATACCAAATTCATACTAAAATAAAGGCGATAGTAAATGGGAAAAGGAGTTTTAGTTCATTTGTTTCCTACTTGAGAAGCTACATGCAAATATAACAAAATATATAGAAGAAATACTCTGAGCTCTGCCTAAATAATTGGTTTTATAGGTTTAAAAATATTTAAAAGCAGGAATCCAATTAATTTCCATGTGTGTGATCTTGTGTAAGATTTCATAAGTCATAGATGTTTTGTAAGCAGATTACTTCATATTCACATAATTCTATAATTCCAGAATCACAATTTACCAATATATTCATTCTGGATTAAAAGTATATGGAGAAGACATTAAACTACCTATAACTGAAACAAACAACAATTTGGCTGTCACTTTTATATATGAAGTCAGTGTATCTTTCTTCCTTATAGATACTCTATATTTTTAATACTTACCAAATTTTAATGTTTTATTCATTTTCTATGTATATTTTTGAGAGAAAACACTGAAAATTGTTTTGTCCTTCCTTCTCCTCTTTCTCCCACTGCCTTCTTTCTGCTTAAGGAGGGTGGCGGGGCGGGTTGGGGGGATGGGTGTCGATTAATAGCTTTCTATTTCTCCAAGGCTAAGATTAGAAAGGGTTTTAGAGACAATCTAGTCCAGGTGTAAAAAACTGAATTGCTTTAAAGGGCTGGGCAAATAAGAAATAAACTACTGGATACAGCAATAATATGTAAGGCAGTAGTAGGGAGTGATGGGTACTGTATGAGCTGGAAAGTACAAATACACTAGAAAAGCACTCAAAACCAGAATCATTTATTTAATTTGCTAGACAAACAAAGCACAGCTTTAAATTAGATTTGGTCCAAGTGCTACCATATGTCAGCCCTGCATCTTGTTCACGTCCCACCCAATGTGTAGACACACTCAATTGCACTCCACAGGAATTCATCCTACTCTAACCCAACTGCCCATGGTGACAGTATGACTATGAGACAGCCTTTTCCATTCTCAATAGCTCTAATTCCTACTTCCTTAAGATTTCTATAGTAGTCCTGGCTTAGCCCTCATTCATTTATTCAAAAAAATATTTTGAGCACATATGATGTGACCTGTGCTAGAAAGGACCACAAGGCTTCTGCTCCCATGGCACTTAACTTCTATTAAAGGAGACAATAGTAAACAGTAAACAAGTAAATGAGCCTGAAACTTTAATGTTGAGAAAAGCTACAAAGAAATAAAGTAAAGTGATAATGTGATAGAGACTCATGGGTAGTAAGGAACAGTTAGAAAATTAGTGTGGAAGTCAGAGAAGGCCTCACTTGTGAAGGGGACACTAAAGTGGGGATTTGAATGGGTGAAGTTTCAGCCACATGAAGCTGTTTGGAACAATACATTGTAGGCAGATGACGTAGTAGTGCAAAAGCAATAATACTGCAAGGTTTAAATCAGTTAAAACATTGTGTCTAGAGAATAGCAAGTTAAGTGGTAAACCAGGAAGTCAAATAGGTAAGCAGGGACCAGATTATTTGGGGCCCTACAGATCATAGCAAAGATGTTGGATTTTATTTTAAGTACAATGGAAAGGCATTGGAGGATTTTCAACAGGAAAGGGAAATGATCTTATGTATTCACAAACAACACTGTGGTTTCTGTGTGAAGAATGGGCTTCAGGAGTGGAAGCAAAGAGGGTAACTGGCAGGTTGCTGGAGTAGTACAGGGAGATATGATGGTGGTAGTGGAGATAGAGTAAAAAGGGTGGGTACAGGATATATTTTGAATGTAATCAGAACAAGTCTTTGTTATGGCTTGGATCTTAGGGGTGAGAAAAAAGAAAATTAAAGATAACTTCTAGGTGTTTTTCACCTGAAAAATTGAGTAGATGGTGCCATTTCTGGAAATAGGGCAGACAGGGGAAGGAATATTGGGGAAAAGGGATTAAAGGATTGAAATGTTCATCTTTAGATTGAGATGCGTGTTTTACACGCCAACTGGAGGAATCAAGTAGGTACTTGGATAATTGAGTTTGCTTCTCAGTGGAAAGATCAGTCTGAGGTATACATTGGAGAATGATTGACATAATTTATATTAAAAGCAGGGGCCTACATCAAATCTCCTAAGTATTTAAGAGCTAGCTAAAGAAGAATAGTTGAAATGATGGCTCTTTAAATAGATCTATAAAGTCAGATTAAAATTTCCACTATTTCACTATTTTACATATAGCCTGGAACTCAGTTCCTCAGATTCCTACTTGCCCTTTTCTTAATACACTATAATTTGATACTCAGATACATTTTGGATCCTCCTAGCATTTAACTCTAAAATGCTATGTTTCTAAATCATCTCTCAGCATCTTCTCACAAATATACACAGGACTCTATTGCCATATCTCATTCTAAGCTTGAATTTTAAGATATTTTCAATGAAAGACAAAATTTAGATCCACTTTGGTTTTTATTATTATTACCACTAATAGTCAAACAGAAAAACATATTTATTTCCTCCAGCTTAACTTGTGTGTTTATGAAGTAATTACTCAATATGTTTTTAAAATCATCCAACACAGTATAAATTAATATTTCCAATTCTGTTACATGTTTAAGAATGTTTCTGAAAAGTGGGATTTTTGTATAACTACTTGGGTATGAAAAAAAGAAATGGTCCTATATTTTGTGTAACTTAAGAGAAGCAAGTCGTCTTGGCTCTGTAGTACAGAAATGAGACAAAGTAGGATGAAGAAATGGCTGTGTCATGTGAAATAACTCTTGGAGCCACTTTTTGTTCAGTTTGAATTCAGTGTCCAGCAACATCCCATTAAAGTATGGCATTCTAGAATTTTCTATAACTTTTTTTCCTTAGCAGAGAAAGTATTTAACAAAATAACGTTGTATACCATTACATGGACAGTTTTTGTCTCTTATGGATATAACCCATGATCAAGTAAAAAAAAAATGATGAATAAATCTCATTTCTAATTATAATTTATTTTGAAGCATTGATTCACAATGCTTTTCTCAAAGAATCAGCAATTTAAAGTCATAATTCTAAAGTAGAGATAACAGATATATCAGAAGAAGAACTTAAAATAGCTTTTATCATTTGCTGACTCTCCTGCCAAAATTCCAATTTTTTCCATTATAATACCCAAGTTGTAACCCCTCAAATGGTTCATTTACACAGGTTTCATCTGAATATGTTAATATGCTTCTCAATGAACCCCTAAGCTCATTTTTCAGGAAGAAAAAAAATCAGTGGGGTGAGCTTTTTGTTTACACCAAAATATGTTCAAATATGTTGGAAATTAAAATGCAAACCTGTATTTATGAATAAGCCTCAGCACCTCTTATAAGGCAGCTCTGAATATAGTTAAATGATTCTAACTATACACATTCAAGTTTACTGGATATATATCAAAGCTGCCACACAGCAGATAACCTGAGGGTCCAAGCCTATGTTGAGTATTTCAGAGATTGTGAAATGATCCCAAATTATAGTTTTGCATTATCTGTTAGTGATGAAAGAGAAAAATTCTGATAAATTCATACCAGAATTATGTTCCTACAAGAGAGTGTAATAAAATTCACATTCCATTTATGTTTCCTTGAAATGTGATCTCTATGAATCTTATGTGCCTGGCTCAAAAAAGTATTGATGGGTCAATGGATCTATGAATGAACAGAAGGAGAAAAGAAGGAAATTAGACTCAAGCAATATATCTTAAGAGTTTGAGAGACAGCACTAAGAGTAACAATGCCCTGCCAAGGGAAACAATAACAGTAATATGCTAAACAATGAACCCAACAGCATTAGAGTCTCAACTCTGCAACATTTCAAAAGAGCAAATGTGATTAAATCATTATCTTTTAATGCTCTAGCATTGACTGAGTTGAGTGACCATACATACTAAATCTATGTTTAGGACATCATCATAGAAAACACTGTAATATGCAATATAAAAGATTGTTGAGGGATTTAAATGAAAAATAAAGCAATGTATGTGTATAAATTTACTTTATAGCTACAAAAACCTACATAAATTATTGGTATTGTTACAAGAATGCTGTTACAACTATTTCTCAGAGAACAACCCTAGTTTCTAAGTATGTAGTTAATCTTTCTTAAATCACATACAGGGTGTGATCCCATTGTCCCCAGGATTTTTAATTGTTCCAAACTTCTGGCTTAACAATATGTAAAAGCTTACTTTAAGTTATAGCTTATATCTAAAAATGGTATTTATTGTAAAATATGTCATTATTTAATCTATCATGGAGGGAAAAACCCTACCAAGTAAACTTTGATACAGTATCTATTGTCAAGTGCATTCTAATTTTAGTGATGTAAAATGTGGAAAAAAATGTTCCTTAGAATCCAAAAATAAGGCATTTGACTAGTTCTCTCTGAGAGGTTTTCTTTGTGGTCAAGTGCAGGAACTAGTTGCCGTATATTGTAAACCCCACCGAAATATTTACTTGAGAGAAGATATCTTGAAATTTTGAGTGTGATCTCAACCACATTAACCATTCTATAGTCATCACAGAATGTTTGGTGAAAAAGAATATTCACAAATATTTTTAAAGCAGATGATCCCATGAACTAAATGTGAAATAAATATACTTCAAAACTGGTAGAACAATACGCTAATGATTCTGCCTACTTGTCTTCAGAAAGACAGGTCCAGTCACCTTTATATTAGCTCAGTCTTCTCCATAAAGCTTTTCCTGACCTTTCCATCGGATCTGTTCTCATCTTCTTGTGATAAGAATCTGCAACAAATACCTATAAGAGGGTATTTATCTTTTTGGATAAAATCTGCCTTGTGGTTACTTATCGGAATACTTTCTGAAACAATATTTTTCTCTTTTCCATTTAAACATTGAAAATGGAAGAGTTGCTAATATTCCACATGTTACTTGAATGGATATTTCTAGGGAATTATAGCAAAACTTAATGTACAAAACCCCACAACTCTGTAGATAAAGAATCTTCCGTAGGCCTAGAATAAAAAAAATCCAGAAAAGACCATAAAAACTATTTTTTTCTGATTTCAGCCGAAGTGCCTAATCCCAAGATAATGCATTAAGTATGTCACTTCCCAAACCTGTGTTGGTAAAACATTAGCTTTAGCAGATGTTAAGAGATATTTAGTGGAAAAAAAGACAAAAGGTTGTTAACATAAATTTAAATTTGGAAAACATATTTGGTGTGCACAGAGGAAAGAGTAGGGACTTTAAAAAAAAAGATTTTATTTATTTATTTGACAGAGAGAGCACAAGCAGGGGGAGCAGCAGAGGGAGAGGAGAAGCAGGCTCCCCACAGAGCAGGGAGCCTGATGTGGGGCTCGATCCCAGGACCTGAGCCGAAGGCAGTCATTTAACCAACTGAGCCACCCAGGTGCCCCAAGAATAGGGACTTTTAAAATCAGATAGAACTAGTTATAAATCTAACCCTCATTGTCCTCTTAGACTTCTCCTCTCTTAAAAGGGGCCAATGATGACTATCTCATAGGTTTGTTGTGATTAAATGAGATAATGCATAGATCATATGCCTGCCTTAAAGTATGCAATATACTGGAAACTGTCAATGGTTTCATCCGAGTTTTGTCATTCCTTTTGAACATTCAAGACATAAACTCATTTAATTCTTAGAACATTTTAAACAATAATGAGTGATCCAAAGTAGGTCTGGTTACAGTTTATTCATTGGATGTCTAGCAGTTCTGTGAGAGTGGCTCATGGGCCACCCTGTGAAGGCATGGGGTTCTGAGAGTTCTGGCTCTTGGCAAGTTTTCCTTTTATTTGTTCTTCTATCTATACACTAAGGACTCCAGTCAAGACCTGCCCTAAAGTCTACAATATACCCAATTGCCTCATCAACAATTCTTCACTTTGATGTCTTGCAGGTACCTGAAATTCACATATCTAAAACCAAACTCATGATTCTTCAAACCAGCCCAACTTACCTTCCCCCATTTCCTTATCTTACTGAATGGCAACATTATTCTTCCACATGTTCAGGTCCCAAATTCTTGAGTTATGCTCAACTTCCTTCTCTCGCATCCTGCATTCAATCCATTAGTAAGCTCTTTGGGATTTTCCTTCAAAATATATTCCAATCTCTTGAATTATCATTTACTCTACAGTTTACATTCTAGTCCAAGGTTATTGCAGTGACATCCTAATTGGTATCCCTGCTTCTATTTTTACCTCCTTAAGTCTGTTTAACTCACAGCAGCCAGCATGTTCCTTTCAAACATAAGCCATATCTTGAAGCTCCCCTGCTCAAAATCTGTGTTGGCTTCACATATCCCTTAGTGGAAAACCAGAGGCTTTGCTATTGTATAAAGGTCTATCTAATCTTAGACTCTGGTTCCCACTCTGACCTTTTCTTCCATATGTTAACCTCAGCTTATTTTAGTTTATGAGAATAAACTAGTGACCCCAGCCTCTTTGTGGATGCTTAAGTACTCCAAGTTTGTGCTTGCCACAGTAACTGTCATTAACTAGTTCCTCTACCTGGAAAGTATTTCTCCCAAAAACTATATATGTTGTACCTCACTTCTTTCTGCTCAAATGTCTGATAAAGAAAGGACCTCTCTGTCCACTAATTAAAATTGCTTCTCCATATTCCTAGCTAACTTTATCTGCTTGTTTTCTTAATCTTACCACCTCCTATCACAGTATGTATTTAGTAATAAATTGTTTTATTACCTATAATCCGTACATATCCTAAAATACAAGACTGATGAGAGCTGGAGAATGTCTGTTTTGTTCAAAGTTATATCTCTGATACCTAAAATATGCCAGGAACATAAAAGGTACTCAGTAAATATTTCTTAAATGAATAAATGAATGAATAAATGAATCAAGATTTTGCTGAAGATGATTCCAAAAAAACAAAAGTGCTCTGCTGCCTAAGAAAGATTTATAAAAGAGTGCCTGGGTGGCTCAGTCAGTTGGGTGTCTGCCTTTGGCTCAGGTCATGGTCTCAGGGTCCTGGGATTGGGCCCCACATCGGGCTCCTTGCTCAGCAAGGGAGCCTGCTTCTCCCTCTGCCTGCCGCTCCCCCTGCTTGTGCTCTTTCTCTCCAATAAACAAATAAAGTCTTCAAAAAATTTAAAAAAAGAAAGATTTATAAAAAGTCATGAAACCTCTTATTTTTCCATAGGTTGGTGATACCTTTTTGAATCGTAAATATATTTAGCAAACACAATGTATTTAGCTAGAATTTTTAAATTAATTTTAGCAGACTGAATAAATATACAATAACAATACCCACTTTTAACATGTGCAAGAAACAGAATGAATGCTGTTTGTGTCCAGTGTGTTTCTAGCGTTTTTAATCAGTCCTGTAAATCATTAACAGATAGCATATAGCAAGGATTTAATGAATGTTAGCTATTACTGTGTATACATAATTTCCTTCCCTACGCACGTGGTTTTTTTTTGTTTTGTTTTGTTTATTATCCCTTTTAGGTATTGGAGATACAGTGAAGAAATGAAGACCATGGATCCTGGCTATCCCAAACCAATCACAGTCTGGAAAGGTATCCCTGAATCTCCTCAAGGAGCCTTTGTGCACAAAGAAAATGGTATGTAGCATGTGCATTATATATTTCATGAGTTTACTAAATATTTCAACAATGAATTCTAATTTTTCATTATGTTAAATTAAATCATTAGGAAGTACCATACTAGGGCTATAATGTATTATATTTACATGAACTTTCCATCCTAGATTTATGTTTAATATTATGCTCTAGATGTTTTTTAACCTCAGCTTATTTTAGTTTATGAGAAAAAAAATAAAGGCAATTTTTTAAAATGGAGGGTGTGGATACCTTCAAAGTAACATCACCTATTTTTCTATTAAAATTCCTATAAAGTTAGTAACAGACATACACAGGACAGGAGCTGGTCACAAGGAAGGTATGTTGTAAGTGTGGGCCGAGACACAAAGACACCTGGCAATTATGCATGTTGAAGATTTTAATTTTTCATGTATCAGCAAACAGGGAAGATCCCAACTGAATACAATCGGGCTAAGTGACTGTATGATTGCTTAATAGCAAGAAGCAGAGCGGAGAGCTGACTACGTTCCTTGCTCTCCATCTCAGGATTTGAGTTTCAGCCAAATCCTAAGTGGAAAGTTAGCCAAGGGAGGGAAAATCCATATACTTCTATCTGTGGGCATATGTAAAGTCTCAACATTTCTCTCCTCATTCAGAAAGCAGTAAATAGGAATAAACCATAGTAATAATTCAAAATAGGATTTATACACAATATTCCAGAACAAAGGAAAGAAATCATTCTGAAATACACAAAAAAACATACCCCATCAAATGATTTATAATAGGAACCATAAGAAAAGTATATACCATACCCGTCCTCAATAGCATGAAAAGTCTGTAACATATGCAACAAGAATAAAATAAACATCATTTGCAAAAACAAAATTAAATATATCAGGTGAGGAAAGAACAAAAAAGTTAACTGAAGAAATAGGAGGAAAATGAAAAACACCATCACTGAAGATTATAATTAACGATCAGCATATTGCCAGAGTTTAAGACAACTATACACTGAGTGTAAACCTGAAGGAACTATTACCCAGGATCAATAAACACCAGTCAGAAAAGTCAAAGTACACAAACTATTTTGACCCTTGTTATATGAAATGACATACTACATTCTGTATGATAGTGCCCCACAAGTAATATGCTGTAGGGAGAGGCAAAGTCAAAAAGAACCTTGAAGCCTTGATCATAGCACTTATAGAGAATTATAGATTTTGTGTATATTCTATAGGTTCAGAAAATTAAAGGACCAAGTTAAGATACAGAGCCTGTATGTGATAAAAGCAAAAATCCATAGAAGAGGACAGATAAAGAAGAAAACATATCTGTCAAAAGGATATCAATAAGAAAATGAAGGAAGTAACAGTGCAGTCACATTGGAGGCAATTAATCAGATCAAAATAGGGCCCAAAACTCCAACTATGCAGATGAGGATGAAAAGGACCAAGAAATGAAAAAAAAATTTGAAAAATGATCACATGGAGGCAGAAAACTGAGATCACCCCTACGAATTATAGGTGTCACCAAGGAAGAAACTAGAGGGAGGAGATTTCTTGACGTTAGAATAAAGAGGTTATTAAAGCCCAGATAAAACCAACTCTAGCTAATATTTACAGAAGTCTTAGCACTGCTCTAGACTGTCTTCAGTAAAAGTTATCACATTCCATGCAAAAATAGTGCAAAGAAAATTCAACCAAGATCTTACTGCAGTGTTATTAACTCTAGGAAGTTTGGTAACAGTTTATTTCTTGTCTTTATTTTATTAATTTTCTAAACTGAGTTTATCTTTTAAGATAAAAATAACTTTTAAAATAAGTAATAAATTGTTTCAAAAGATTGAAAAAGTAGACATAATACACATAATCTTAATTCCTTACCACATTAACAGTTTTCTTTTTCCCTGTTTCTATATATAAGGCCACTAATAACTGAGATTTGATTTAGATTCTCTGGGAATAAATCATATTTATATAAAAATAACAAAAAATCTTGCTACCCCTGCCCCATGATTTTTCATATTTTTTCCATCTGAATATTTAATAATATTCATTCAGTATAAATCAGTGAAATTGTGCCAAGAAGTATATTCTAAACTGAATCAACTCTTTCATAAATAGTTTCTAAACGACTATGAAGCAACATATCAAAATGTTTAAATTAGACTATGTGATTGTATTCTTTTTAGGTTATATTAATACAATTAACAAAATATTATCAATTTTCACAGAAGTGAAAATTTTATGTGTTGTACAAAACAGGACTGAGACTTCCAAGATCATATTTCCAAGAGCATTTCCCCAAGATCTTCCCACCTCAAGGGTCAATTACAAAAGAAAAAAATAAATAACAGTTTTCTTATATTCAGAATTTCATGATTTCTTTTCACATAGCAAAAAATAACTTTGTAAAATACTGACAAATGAAGCATTTTGGGAAAATCAATGCTTACAAATGAATACAAACTGCAGATGAAACTGCAATATATCTATGTCTTCTAGACCTTTCCTGGTCCAGCCCCCTCTTTGATATCCCTCAACACTGACCTCACTCTTCATCTTTCAGAATATTCTCCTTGAATATCCTTTTGTGATTACCCTATCCCTTGTACTCAAATCTCATATTACAGTGATCAGCTTATATGCTCATTATCCCCTCTAGTGCAAACTGTTGGAAGGCAGTCACATACTAAACATTCAATAAATATTAGTTGTATAAATTAATTTTATCCCTCCCATTATTCTAAAAATTCCCTCCCTGGAGGCGATCTCTCATCTGTCTGAAACCCTTGTTCTGTAATAGCAATGTCAAAGAATCTAGAAGGCTTTGGTCTATCAACAGCAAATTCTCCACTTTTTATTATCTACAAATTTCATGCTTGTAGCTTCTTACCTTAAATTCATACTTTATACAGTTTCTTCCCTTAGGTTTGTGTATGAAAGATAACAAGTTCAAATTACTAAGTAAATGCATTTATATTTATATTTTGACTCAGAGTAATCCCCTGTAACTCTATACACATGAAATTTGATAGTCATAAAGGTGGAGACGATTGAACACTGAATGTTTTCTCTGGTCTATCCTTCCACTGATGTAGGAATTTCTTCCTTGGAATCTTCTAGTGATAATCTTAAACAAACAAATGGAAGTCCACAAATTCAGCAACTTACCTATAGAATTTTGAAGGATATTTTTCATATTAAGGTGGAATATGCCTCCATATACACCTACTGCTATTAATTCTGCCATCTTTACAAATGAAATATGAATTCTTGTGCTATTTATTAAATGCCTATCATGTATCAGATATACTACATAAAGTCATTATCTAATTTAGTTGTCCAACATAAATACCTTTTTATGTCATATATTATTATTTATAAATGAGTAAGTTGGCATCAGTTAAAGTAACTTATTCATAATCATAAAAAAGGTAAGATTATATATTTGAGGTTTGAAACTAGAACAATCGAGCCCCACTGAATGTGCTGTAATGCACTATCTCCAAAGAGGAAAAGTTAACACCTTTCTCTACAGTATATCATTAAAGTAACTGATTATCTGTCATGTCTGGTTAAATTTTTCATCTTATCATACTACACAAATCCAGGCTTTCTCAGAATGTAGCTTCCTGAGCCATCATCCTCCTGCTTTTCACCTGTAAAACCATCTTAAGTATTTTTCATTTTTCTCTTTACTTTTAGTCCTTGAAAATACAACAATCTAAATGAGATCTGACTCATGCAGAATATAGTGGAATGATTTCTTCTTGGCACTCATTATTTGACCATTTCTTAAGCAACAGTGAGTTTTTAACACATACTAAAGTTGTAGTAAAGAATTGCTTCATTCCCTCTCCTTCAAATTGTTTCTATGTTAATCGCTGTCAAGCCACATCACCTAGGTATTCTATATTCCCTCCTTAGAAAATGCAGTCTTAAGGCAAATACAAGACTCTACTTTTCAGACTGTTGTCTTTCACCTTGCTGATTGCTGTTAAAACAGTTTTGACTATTTTAGCCTATTAAATTAGTTTTGACTCTTGATTCTGTTGATTTGCTGTAGTCCCTACTCCCCACTCTCATTCTCTGTTAAAATGTACAAGTGTGATTCAAACACATATTTCCACAAGAGTCAGTTTACTCATTCACATTTATTAAATACTAATTAACTTCTTACTAATAAACATATAAAAGTGGAAGAGAACACACAGACATTGTCATCCAGGGACATCTAAGTTAGAACAAGACAATTATGATGGACAGTGTCTCGTTACATTTTAGGACTAAACAATAGAAAAGTCATCAGTAAAATCTGGTCAAATATGGGAGAAAAAAAGTAATCACATAATACATTACAGCCCCCCTGAATTCCTCAGGATTTCCAAAAAGTAATAATTCGGGTAAGAATTCATCTGATGTTGCTATTCTTAATAAGCATAACATCTTACAAGAGTATATCATCAAAGCTATTCTTAAAAAGGAAAAAAAAATGAGTACATAAACACTTCTTCTACCAACTGCTATTTCATATTTCTCATTACTGAATGAGATGAATATTGTGGGATTAAGTTTTGACAGATTTCTATTGCAGTCCACTTATTTTCAAATACTTTTATTATTTAACTTCTACTGACTAGACTTGTTATCTCTAACAAGCATATTCAGTAAACTACAATTCTACTCCTCTATATGGAGGGTGCTACTATAAAATTTGGCCTCCATAAATATGAAAATGGAAACTTCTGAACTTTTGTATGGTACCAAGTACGTTCACAGTAATTAGCTTTGACTAAAAATTAAAGATGAGGACCCTTCCAGCTGTTGGTTTCCAGTTTATAAATATAAGAAGTATGTTCACCTGTTCTGAAGGTCTGTTTAATTCTAAGTCAATGCCATTATTCAACAGTGATTGTCTAAAGTACTATTATTTGGCAAGCCCTCAACATTTCTTCATCCAAGCTTGTTGAGTAATTACATTGGATTTCATTAGTGTGATCAAATACCAGCTCCCTGCTGAAATATTTGAATCTACATCACCTGTTTTCACTTGGCATGTTACTCTGATTGCAAAATTGCCCTTCGAAACGAAAGGCAACAGCAGATTTTTATGGCATTGAACAGAATTACTTTCAAAATGAAGTGACCTGAAGTGATGGTCTAGCCTAGATGAAATTTTTTGAAAGGTGTCAGAGTTTTTTGTTATATGGGTTTTACCTATCACAACCTGTGATGTTTAATCAAGATGCATTTGTTAAAGGACACAGTTTTTAAAAAAATCATTAAGTGTTCAGGTCTAGAACTAGATCAAGATTTAAATTCTGCTTTCACCAGGACTTAGACATCTTATCTCTAAGCCTCAGTATCTTTGCCTGAAAAGTATAGGTAAATAATTCGACTTGACAGAGTGGTTATGAGGATTAAAATATGTCTTTACTGAGCTTTAAACACAATACTTCTTCCATAATAGGTGTTTAATAATACAGGATAAAGAAAAACCCTCATTAGTGACTACTAACCCTAAAGTAGGCATACTATTCAAAATAGTTCCCAAAATATAGTTTTTAAGTAATGATAACATTAAAATATTTCTTCTTGGTTTCTTGAAGTTTGTCTCAAAGCAGGAATGAAGTCCAATGAGTGCAGTCACAAAGAAACTTGACATGAAGAAGCTCTGGATGAAAAGAAAAACTTTTTTTTTCCCCCAACAAAAACAACAATTTAGAGAATAGTCCTAAGAAAAACACACATATCTGTAGCTTAATTGTCACGAGCTTTCAAAGTCTATTATCTGCATACATAATTTTGGAACATAAGTCATATGTATTGCTAGTTACATGAACCTTCCACATACTACATCCTCCCCCATGAAATATGTTAGTTGGAACTATTAAAGATAGAATTATAGATTTATTTATAGTCTATTAATCCTTTATTATGTAAGTAAATAAGAACGTTAAGTGAAAAGGGCAAAAGGAGTAGGGACAAAATGGGTATGATCTAGAGGCAGAAATAAGGTTAGTGCAGAAAATACCCTAAATACCTATTTACTTACTAAGATTCCTAGCAAAGAAAACATCTCTATAGTTTCATGACTTATGAACTGTTATGATTTCTTGTCCAAATTACAAAAGCAAACCTAGTGTTTAAGTACAACTACTCCCAATACTAAGATGATTAGAAATTTCCCCTGAGGTGTTTCCTGGAGTGGCCTCCTCATAATGCATTGTACAATGTCTTCAACAGCAGTCTGCAGGGACCTAGTGCTTCAATTCATAAGGCTGTTTCAGCATATTTCAGAATACGTTGGTATTATCTCCCTGATAGGTAAATCTGAAATTGCAACCTTACAAGTAAGAAATAGGGTAAAGTTCTCTCTCCAGACTAGGAGTAGATTTGTTCAGCATGATCTTTCAACTGTCCTCTATAGATATTTTGACTCATGGCGAAGCTTTCCATAGATGGGCATTAGAGGGCACAACTCCAGATTTATTTCAACAGAGAGCTAAGCTGAAGATAATGTTTTCTTCCTACCAAAATGGAAGGGCCTTAAAATACATCTTTGAGGGGTGCCTGGGTGGCTCAGTTGGTTAAGCAACTGCCTTCGGCTCAGGTCATGATCCCAGGGTCCTGGGATCGAGCCCCACATCGGGCTCCCTGCTCAGCAGAGAGCCTGCTTCTCCCTCTCCCCCTGCCTGCTGCTCTGCCTACTTGTGCTCTCTGTGTCAAATAAATAAAATCTTTAAAAAAAAATACATCTTTTAAAAAGTAGCCTAATGTAAGTTAATAAGAATTTCTATACATATACACTTTCAAAATAAGTGGTACCTATGTGTGTGTGTTTCCCCCTCTAGGCTTTACGTATTTCTACAAAGGAAAGGAGTACTGGAAATTCAACAACCAGATACTCAAAGTAGAACCTGGATATCCCAGATCCATCCTCAAGGATTTTATGGGCTGTGATGGACCAACAGACAGAGATAAAGAAGGACACAGCCCACCAGACGATGTAGACATTGTCATCAAACTGGACAACACAGCCAGCACTGTGAAAGCCATAGCTATTGTCATTCCCTGCATCTTGGCCTTATGCCTCCTTGTATTGGTTTACACTGTGTTCCAGTTCAAGAGGAAAGGAACACCCCGCCACATACTGTACTGTAAACGCTCTATGCAAGAGTGGGTGTGATGTAGGGTTTTTTTTCTTTCTTTCTTTTCCAGGAGTTTGTGGTAACTTGAGATTCAAGACAAGAGCTGTTATGCTGTTTCCTAGCTAGGAGCAGGCTTGTGGCAGCCTGATTCAGGGCTGACCTTTCAAACCCAGAGGGTTGCTGGTCCTGCACATGAGTGGAAATACACTCATGGGGAAGCTTCCATGATGCACAGTATCTGCCGTTCTTCAGTCCTTTGTCTTTCTTTGTCATTCAGTTCTAGGCCTTTCCTCTGCACGCTCAATGCCCAGTAAATTTTCAGGATTAACTAAAGAAGAGGAAAAAAAGAAGAAAAGATTCTTCTTAAAGGTTTCTAATATTATTTTCCTTCTGAAGTCTGAGCCCATATCTGGGGAAAAAAAGCAAAATGGAAAAACCCATGAATTTTTTGCTTTAAAGCAAAGAAAAAAAAGGTTAAACAAAAAACCCACAATTGAACTTTCAGGAAAGTGTGAAGACCCAAAACAGCTTTGTCTCCAAAGAAGATAGCTCTCTGACTGCTATGGATAGTCTCCTACACTTCATTTTTGTCAGGTGGGAGATCTGGAATACACATGCAGGACTTTAGACTGTTGGGACAGCCATTTTCCAACAAACAAGGGGCCAAAATATCTGCAATATAGTAACAGCCTTAATAATACATCCATTTTTCGTTTTATACAGCTGTTCTCAGCTATGTCCTCAATGTTTCATCACATTTATATTCATAGCTATATTCAAACAGGACCTTTTGATTGTTTTGAAGTGTTTCTAATCCCCTTCCTGCCACCTGACCCCTACATCATTGTGATAATCTCCCCAAGTTGTATTAGGCCATTGCCCCAGGCCTTTCATGGGTCTGTCAGGAATATTCATTAAGAGCAAGAAGCAGTATGTCTCCAAAGTGGTTTAAAGTGACAGTTATTTTACAAGGATATGTGACACTAGTAATATATTGGTGTAACCCTTTGAGAACTATCAAACCAGCTTTCAGAGTCTTAGGATTGTCAGTCTTACTATCTGGTAAATTATAGAACTGGGCAATGGTAAAAGCAGGCACAGGTTCAAGAAGTTCAGGTCTTTAAAACAGATATCCTATAGCCCCATGTAATTTTTAAGCGATTTGCGGTACTACATAAATGCGTTATAGTAAACAGAAATGTTACTTGCCAAAAATTTTTCTGGCAAATAAAAAGATATTTTATTAAGAAAATGCTAAGAGTGAAATTTTATTTGAAGAACTGATTATAATAGCTTAAGTCTTTTTTTCCTTAGACATATTGAATTTCTGTTTTAAAATCCATTGCATGAAAATTCAGTTTGCCTTGGTACATGCAGTTAGCATTGCCATTTTAAAAATGACTTAAAATGATGACTCTGAGATTGCATGAATATCCTCCAGTACATTACCTATTGCATGTCAACCATAGTTCTCAAAGGGTTAGTGTGGCTTCTGGCATTTAGCCATCCATTTGATCACTGACAGAGCCAAGAGACCACCAAAGCATTTCATTGTTGAGTGTAATTTGTCCTAACAGCAGTATTGTCATTTTCATGTGACCTGCAGAGCAGGTTTGTATCAATATTTTTTTCCTAGAGAAAAGTCAGCAACTGACAGACCTCTTTATTGATTTTTAGGAGCTGCTTCTTGCAGTGAAAGGCTTTACAGCCACTGGGCTGTGAACTTATTAGAGATGGTCAGACGGAATGCACCCCATGAGTCAGACATTGGCTTTGTGTGAAAGCCAGCTTTTGAGGGGATTAGCTTTTGAAACAATGAACAGCTTGCCTTGAACTTGATTATTGATCTGTTGACTGTCATTAACAACAACTTAAACATTGTCTTCTGTGAAAATTTTCCTTGAAGAGTCCTGTTCTGTGTCTTTGCCCTTTGACCTTTAACTTGCAAACTGGCACAAACTGAAGGAAATCTGGTATTGCTTCTCCTTTGGAGTGTTAATTGTACTCTAAAACCCTAGTAAGCATGAGCTGTTTCCTTAGAGTAGAGAGAGAGAAAGTGTTGATGGTGGATCTGCAGATGGACACTTTGCTATTTACATGCACACTCGAAAAATGCCCTATAGGTAGAAATGACTTTTAATTTTCCTTTAATATAATTTCAAGTCTAAATTCATCATTTTAAGTACAAATATAAAACTATAGGGGAAAAAAAAAACCTCAAAATACTTGAATGGCCAGTGTGGCTTTTATACAAAGCAGGAATTTTATACTAGTGAAAATTTCTTACTCATTTGCTAATAATACACATTTCCAGATGATTTTTAATGAGTGTAGGTACACATTCTTATTTGGAAATGGATAGTTTGGCTGCCTTGAATTTATATTTATACTCAACATAGCATGAAAATTAGAATGTCTTTCGGTTAAACAACATGTTTATGAATTGGTTTGGGAAAATGTTTTGTAATCATGGGTGGCATGCTGCAAAGCCTTTGCAGATTGTTATTTCTTACAACCTGAATATATACAATGTAAGGATAAGAAAAAAAGAACAGTTAAAAAAGAGGAATGGTTTTACAGCAAAACATTATGTAATGCAAACTGTATTTTGACAAGATATCAGAGATTATGTATGTGAGGGCCAAGAAAGAAAGCATGGGGAGAGGACCAAAATCAGTCCCATAGCTTTACTTCAGTGCTTCCATTCTAGATGATGCTGATATTATAAAGAGTTAGCCACTTCTACTGAGCATGGAGGACTATATACATAAGCTCACTTATACAGTGTTTGCTTATGGGAGGGTTTAATCCTTTTAGGACCTTGATGTCAAGAAAAAAGATGACTGGAAATTATATTTTGCTAAACATAGAAATGAGGAACTGTTATTTGGGGACATGGGTAAATCATTGAGGAATTCCATCAACCTGCATTAAACATTGATTTTATTTTTTTTCTAAAATGAGAAACTGAAGAAGCAATCTTTTGCCTCTTTACTCATTTGTCACAATATCCTGATCCATCGTAAGACTATTAGTATATAAGGGCTAGAAAATAATCATAGCATTAAGAAAGGAAAGACCCTATCATTATGCTTGAATTTTGAAAATGTCATGGATAAGTGTTGGGTCATATTTACTTCAATATGAAATGAGATTTATGTGATAAGAAAAGGCATATACAGCTTCTCTCTTTACTAGAATAGTTAAATTTTCAGGCTGTGAGACTACAAGAGATAAGAAAATATTAAGTTCCATATAATCACAAACATCAAGATTCTATTTGTTTATTGTACACAGAGCACTTTGTGAGTATGGTTGCCAACTCCTCTTCCTCTTGGGGTTTGGGGGAAAAAAGTCTCAATCCTATTGGAATAATGAAAGGGACAGTGACCAATTGGTCTAGCAAATAAGAATAGTGATTCAAAAACAACATGGAATAAATTTCCATGGGTCAACAATATAATGTACCAAGTTCATTATCAATAGAAACATACAGTCTATCAAATATTTTTCATCACACATCATTAATAGCATGGAAAGTTCAGACCTAGAGTTTCTCAAATTGAAAAACACATTCATGATCACAAAACATAATTCTTCTGTTTCATTTTTAATACTTTAATATAAACACAAATGTAAACAAAGTAATGTTCCTTACATAAATTAACTCTATAGTCTATAATTTTAGCCAAATATTATTGTTCTGTATATTATTAACTGGACTGAAATGAAGTATTAAAATAAACAGTCTGTATTCCCTATAAAACAGTAAATCTACATCAGACCATAGAGGAGGTTGTGAATTTAACTATTGACCCCTTTTAGAACAAAGCGTCTGCTGACATGGCAATCAGAACAGGTGAATACAGAAACTCTTTACAATTGCAGAGATACCATAGATAAATTAGAGAACATTATATGATACTAGCAAAGACAACTTCTGTTATAAATCAGAGGGCAAGGCTTTTCTGAATCAGATGTAATAAATTACTAAGTAATAATTTACAAAAAATAATTACTAAGTAATAAAGGATAGAGACTGATTTACTAAAATAAGCAAATGTTACTTTTACTAGTCAGATTGGTTGTAATCTTTTTCTATTGACATAATTTGTTTCATATACGATATACTTATTTTTATTCCCTTTCTGTGGGTGATTAAAAAAACACAATGTGGTGGATGAGAACACTGCCCAACTTCACTGGTAGTTCCAATATGTGGATGATGTGTATATACTGGATCCTAGGTATAGTAATATAACACTTCCAAGTTCTGCATATTATGCTGATATCTCTAGTATCAAATACACGCCCACACTTTGTGAATCTTACATAGAGTAACAAATGTGTCCATATTGACTAAATTCAATGTGCTATCTGAAGAGAGATGGATGTTATAATCAAGTAGACTGAGTTAACACAAGAGTCATGAAAAGATTTTTTTTTTTTAAGTTTTGGAATTATTTCCAGAAACTAATAAAGGCGGTGATTTACTGATAGTATTGAGTCTGTGAGATTGTAACATATACTGAAACAACCTCGTGGATGGTGGTGAAATCTTTTTCAGCAAACATAGCAAAGAGTTCATTTAATTTTTGATGCTCTCAAGAGCACATTCCAAAATAACACAGATGTCAAAGAGAACATGCCATCTAAACCAAAAATGTTAAACTCAGCTAAGTTATTTATAAATAGCTGTAAAAATAATCTCAGCCAATATATGATATCACAAAAGGTTTCAAGTCAATAGTATTAGAGGATTTAATCATTCCATTGCATCTCATGCACCTTCATGATATTAATTTATTTTGACTGCAGGTTATATAACTGCGAAAGGATATGTATCTTTGTTTTAGGTTCCTTGTTGCTGAAAAGGGAACCATAGCTACATCAGAAATATTTTATCAGTTATATTTTAAAAATTAGAATTTTATATGATAAAGAAAACAGCAACCAGGTGGAGCACCACACCATAAATATGAAAATTAAATACTATATGTATTAAACATAATGGAAATGAATGAAAAAGAAAAATGAGTGTTTTGTAAAACATAAAAACATACTACAGCACTCCTTAATACAACTGGAAATTTTACTTTAGCAAGTATAAAAATAGAGAAAAATGCAACTTCAAGCTCTTCATGTTAGTAATGGGTATGTGATATATCAATGTATATAATTAGCCAGTGGTTTTTAGATGTTACCCTGCATAAACACATCTGATACTAATGCACTGCCTTATAGGCTAAAAATGTCAAAAGTTAGGTGTTCAGTAACCTCAATTGGAAAGATATATGTTAGAATCTCCTGAGAAAAGCCATTTCTCTAGGACAGAAATTTACCTCGGTAATCACATAACATAAACACTTGGCATAGTAGCAAAGAAATTGCCTTAGTGTTCTAATCTCACCTAATTGTAACCTTTGTCTTTCTGTCCTACTCAAATCATTTTTTGTTTCCACTGGTATCATTTTGAAATGATTCAGAGATATTTCAGGTCAGATGAATAACATCAATTACAAATATCTTTCAACATTTTATACGTATTTCTACTTTGAAATTTAAACCAATAGTATAAGAATGAACACTGATCCAAACAAACACTGACAAATTCACAGAAATTGAGTGAAAAACAGATATTATAAAATTTGTCAATATTCTGGTAGAATACTGAAGTAGCAGCCTTCGATTTTTAAACAGAATTGTGAGCTTATAATTGGACAGAAACATGCATCTTTTTTTAGAACAATGCTAATTCTTTATATGAAGTAAGGGTATAAGATCATGAGTACTATAAAACAGTACATAACTAAAGCTCTTAAAGGAAAATGAGGGCATACCCAGTTAACTCATGGTTAGTGCCTAAGTATAAAAAACATATGAAAGATATTTATGAAGATTTCTAAAAATTATATGCCTTTCCAATTTAAAGAGCAGTGCGTCTTAAAAATCTGTCTTATACTAACTAACATTGGACTGGGGGTAATATTCAAGTTTGCATTCAATGTGGCCTTACATTCAAGGGCACACTGGGCATTGTAAGACAAATACATCATAAACTAGAATGTTGTGCTGATTCACATAACTTTGCCATGTGCTCTGCTATAGAGCTGAATTTATATGCCCTTAAGAAGGGAGAAGAAAATCAATATAGATATGAAAATATGATAATTGTATCATGTTAGGCCACTTAGCTTCAGAGTAAGATGTCATTAACCCTTATTTCACATAGAAAAACCGGAAGGAGAGACTGGTGAACAAGAATAAAATAATTAACTTTTCGACTTACGAAGATGTTTCTTGAGTATTTTATCTACTTGTTTTTCTCCATGAAAAAAAAAATCACACAAAATACTGACATATCTGTAGCATTTGGTCTGTAGCTAGATTTGATCCCAGGCATAACACTTTTTGACACAGGCCTTTTTATAAATGCCTCATATACGATGAAGCTTTGGTGAGATGTGACTGCATGGTAGGTTGCTTTTTTTCTAGGATAGGATATGGTGCTGCTTGTACTTGCCACATTTTATATGAATATATGTTTCTATGTTGGCCTGTCTTGCTAAGATATGGATGAATAAAGCCTGGTGTGAGCTGTCTATTTGCAAAGTCACTAGAATGCACGTTTCATTTGTTCTTTCGTAATGCCAATTTGAACGTTTTCCCTCTCTATATATTGATAACCCAGTTGTGAAGGTAAAACATAGTTTCCTTGAGTGACTGATTTAATCCTTAAATCAATGTCATAATTTTTGCTACCACTGAAACAACACCACAGAGGCCACATTATTGCCTGTCTTCTCACAGCTCTTAAGTAGGTCCTACTGCCTGGGTAAAATTAGGGTTGTTTTTGGTTTTGGTTTTTTGTTACTTCTTTTCTATCCAAAGTGGAATACATTATTCTTTTCTATGTTCATAAATACAAAATTTCACAATCTTAGTTACTTTGTTACTTTCAAACAAACCTGATTTCTTAACAAGGATGATTGGGTGTTTGGTTTTTCTGCTCCTCCAATCCTTGTTTGCTTTCTGAAATTATTTGTTTGCTTTCTGTGTGTCACCCCAAAATACAGATGGTTGGGAGGGATGTATTATTTTGTATTGTCTTATGTAGTCTGTGCCCGTATTTGCATTCCTTTCCATTTCCACCTTGCCCCTTTGTTTTTACAGATTTGATTTTCCCTTCTGTTTATGAAAACC